ATAAGGAGGAAGCAAGCCTGATGCCTGGCCCGTGTCTGAGCTATGACGTGAAAATTGTCCCGAAGCCATAAATAATTTGGGGCCGTTGGGCTCTATGGGCTCGGGCTGAAATGCAGGGCTCTAAAGCGCAGCTTGTTGCATTTAAGCAGCAAAAATACACACAAAATGACACCAAAATGGCCGTCCTGGCCACAGTTAAATAAATGATAATATTCAGTGATGTGAAATGTGGAGTAAGGTCTGGCGCAGTTGCGGCTTGTACTTATTACTAAAACAAGAAAGCAAACGAGTAGCATTAATAGTCATTCATTTTAGTTAACATATGCTATGATAATTTTAACAGATTTTTATTCTTATTGTAAAATAATGGAACATTTTGGTCATGAATATTGTCTCAAAAGTCATGGAAATTTATTGGTAAAAATGTGTACGAACCCTGTAAGCAGCACAGGTATATTTGTAGCAATAGCCAACAATACATTGTATGGGTCAAAATTATACATTTTTATTTTATGCCGAAAATCATTAGGATATTAAGTAAAGATCATGTTCCATGAAGATATTTAGTAAATGTCCTACCGTAAATATATCAAAACTTAATGTTTGATTAGTAATATGCATTGCTAAGAACTTCATTTGAACAACTTTAAAGATGATTTTCTCAATATTTAGATTTTTTTGCTCCCTCAGATTCCAGATTTTCAAATAGTTGTATCTCGGCCAAATATTGTCCGATCCTAATCAATGGGAAGCTTATTTATTCAGCTTTCAGATGATGCATAAATCTCAATTTCAAAAAAATGCACCCTTATGACTGGTTTTGTGCTCCAGGGTCACGTCTGTATGAAGCCGTAGTTCAATGTAAATAAGTCATTGTAGGATCAAACAATGAGATGCACATGTGTGAACGCTTTCAGATGATGCATAAATCTCAATTTCAAAAAAATGCACCCTTATGACTGGTTTTGTGCTCCAGGGTCACGTCTGTATGAAGCCGTAGTTCAATGTAAATAAGTCATTGTAGGATCAAACAATGAGATGCACATGTGTGAACCAGTGAAACGAATGACTAGCGATTAATATTTGAAATCTAGTTAGGCTAATTAATTATTCAATTGCATGAAGTGCTGATAATTAATTGCACATCTCCCCCCCCCCCACCACAAAGTCATTATTGCTTTAAATGAGAAAAGCATGGAATAGACATTACAAAAAATTGCTTTAGAAAGAAATATTTTGATTCTGCATAGAATTTATTACACATTAACTTTTAAGTCTACAATGGGGTCAAAACATTGTTTTCAGAAGCTGCATCGTTAATGATCATTAGGTTCATTAATGCATTTACCCTGCAATTAGAATTACACAAGTTATGCTATAAGATTAATGGGTTTTAAAAAATTAATATAGAAATATTAAATGATTTAAAACTTGAAATTAATCTCTAAATATGAAACTAAAATTGCCAGTAGGTGATGGCAAGTCACTGTCTTAATGAGTGAGTCATTCATTCAACCGATTCCTTCAAGCAGCTGATGAATGAAGTTAATTGATTCACTGAATCAATCGATTTAGAACTTTTTTAGCTTGCGAACACAATATTACTTTCTTGTTAGTTGAACTGTTGTATAGATCAATATCACCTATTTTGAGTTTTAGGCTCAGTTAGCAGCATTCTAATAGACTCCTACATCAGATTCATCAGAAACTGAATCAATCATTAATCATTTTAACATGTTATTTTCCCCATAATTAATCGCATCCAATTAATGCATTAAATCGACAGCCCTACAAGTATGCGCTGATTGGAAAGTGTTGCATACTTCATAATTTTGGTAAAATAAGTAAATGAATGAGTGAAAACTTGTTTGTGTATTATTTCTGTAATTAGATTTTCTTTTTTTTTCCATCTGTTTGCCATGAAGTCCGTCTGATGTGTTTAATCAGTGTTTTTCTTCGCTTCAGTCACGAGACATAAATCGAGCAAACAAGAAGGAGGTGAAGGAGGCCAACAAGTACTACTTCATCGAGTCCTCCATCGCTCTCTTCATCTCCTTCCTCATCAATGTGTTTGTGGTGGCTGTCTTTGCAGAGGCCTTTTATGGCAAGACCAACATGGAAGTGGTGAGCACTTTCACATCTACTTCCTGTTAGAGAGGTTTGCAGTGAGTGTTTCACATTTGAGCATAAATCTATAACTGCGCTCCATTGGTATTTTCTCTTCAGAGTCTGCAGTGTAATGAAACCGGAAGTGCTCACAGTAAGCTTTTCCCAGCCAACAATGAAACACTGGAGGTCGACATCTACAAAGGGGTATGATGCAAACCAACGCCTTACGCTGGATTGTTTGGATTAATCTCACTATGAATATATATCTACTAAATATGATAACCACACTGACGTTCAGAAATATAAATGTGTATCTTGAACACAGTGTAAGTTGTTTTGGTTAGAAGCATCTGCCAAATGCATAAGTGTACAGGCTGTATGTATCCCATGACCGGAGGAGTTTGGTGACAGTGCCTAGGGACCTATGATTTCCACAATGCGGAAAACGCAGACGGAATTCCGGAATCCAGTCAAAAAAACGGAATTTTCTGTTAAACGCGGATTGTCACGGAATTTGGCAAATTTTGGATGAATAAATCAAAAGTAGGTCAGTACAGTGAAATCAAAACACGATATGGACAAGTGTCTGTTAATATTAAGAGTGTCTGCAAAAATACCATTTAAATATGAATCCTGCATGTTCTGCGTGTCTCCGTGTGAATTGGTTTCCTTTACTACACACACATACTGAAACACAGTGATCTCAGCCTATGAACACATGAACATAACCTCTAGAACTGCTCTGAGGGTCACTTCATGAGCATGTTACCGTTTATTTTGAGTAAAACTATCGTCATATCATATACAAACAGAAACTAAAGGTTGACACAGCAATCGGTCAAAATGAAAGTTTGGTTTAACTTGAAGAAATTGTTGCGGAAATATTACTTCATTTAATGATAGTAGTACTACTACTGATAATAAAATTATTAAAACATTATTTGTTTACCAGAAAACATATATACCAGCATTTATTTATCTGAAAATTTCACAACACAGTATTTCTGGGGAAAAAAGAAAGAAATAAAATAAAAAAAAATTTATAAGGTTGTTTGATTAGAGATGCTTTTGATTATCACCATTTAATGAAATCATTCAAATGGAATCCAAGTATTTGGTAAAAAATAATAATACTCAATTAAAAAAAAAAAAATAAAACTGAACTGAAAAACATTTCACAGGGCATTAAAATGTAAGTTTTGTCAAACTTTGAATGAATTGCCTAAATGCGTTTGTTCGCGCGAATCATTTGTGATCCAGCTTCATCTACAGAATAAGTGAGTATAAGGGTTTTTAATGAATCTTTGCAAATCGCCTTTCCTAATAATGTGCTAGTTAGCAAGTTCCGTGGCTGAAGTTTACAGTCTGCTCGTCACCCCATGGCAGAGAGGGGCGGGGCCAGCAGAGCTCATTAGCATTTAAAGTGGTAAGCACCGAAACGGCTCGATGTGAACAGAGCTGATTTTGACAGGGTAAAAAGGGTGTTGTTTTACACTACCACTGAGAAATTTTAACCAAAGTATGTTGTAGACTTTTCATTAAGACCCTAAAGAATCATATCAACTTGTGGAAAATGGGCATCCGATGACCCCTATAATTGTGTAAGTTTAATGATTTAATCAATTAATCGATTAATTAGACATGCTTTTTGATTAATAAAAATGTAATTTAACCATTCAAACAGAGTCTAGAAAAATTAGAACGGGGAAAAAACGAAATCCAAAAAAATGAAAGCGTAAAAAACAGAATTTGGAAAAAATAAAACGGATTTCATAGGTCCCGAAGCGCCACCTGTTGGTCAAAGTGTCATATTTAATGATTCAAATGTTAGATGTTATATTGAGTGAAATATTCATGTCATTTGTATGATCTTTGTGTGCTTGTGTTTGAAGGGTGTGGTTCTGGGCTGTTTCTTCGGCCCGGCTGCGCTGTATATTTGGGCCATCGGGATCCTCGCCGCTGGGCAGAGTTCAACCATGACCGGAACCTACTCGGGTCAGTTTGTGATGGAGGTATGTGGGTCTCCAGCCCGTTCGGTTCAGTGAGTGGCGTGATGTTTGGGCATGTGTGAAGTCTGTCTGGCTCCTGCAGGGCTTCCTGAACCTGCGCTGGTCCCGCTTCGCTCGCGTGCTGCTGACGCGCTCCATCGCCATCTTCCCCACGCTCCTGGTGGCCGTCTTCCAGGACGTGCAGCATCTCACCGGCATGAACGACTTTCTGAACGTGCTGCAGAGCATGCAGGTACACACATGCTCCGGCAGCTCTCCAGGGGGCGCATAAATACTATAGTAATTCATAGTGAATACTATAGTGTTTTTGAACCATACTATAGTAAAGTGTATTTATTACACTGTATATATTATAGTATTTACAACGCTTTGTTAATAAATGCTACAGCATACTGAAGTATTAACTGTAGTGAACTGATACACTGTAATAAATACTGTAGTGTATTGTAGTATAATACGCCCTGTAGTTGTATTAAGATAAGAAAGATTCTGTAATGTGCCCCTGATCTGGGCTCTTTGTGTTGAACAGCTGCCGTTCGCTCTGATCCCCATCCTGACCTTCACCAGCCTGACCTCACTGATGAACGACTTCGCCAACGGACTGTGAGTATCTGCTGTGCTTCACTCCGCAGCTAAACTCCGAACGTGTCGGGAAGCTCAGCTTGGGTAGACGAGGGAAGCAGATGAGGAGCCTGAACGACAGGGTTTTTCATGTGCGAGATGTTTTGATCAACTGATCATGAACACAGTAGGGTCGTTCTGTGTCAACTCAACCAGAGGTCCCTGGCTCAAAGTTTTATTTAATTTTTCTGGTGAAAGAAATATATAAATTAAGAAGGAAGCCAAAATATTAAATGTCATGGATGCATATACTAATCCACTGGTTTGTAGAGGTTAAATTTCACAAATTTAGAGTCAAATTACAGGAGGGTAAAAATGCCTTCAGAAAGATGACAGCAGCATGTTAAAAATGTTCACCCGAGCATGTGGATATTATTGTTTTTCTCAGTGTTAACATGTGAAACAATATAAACACGATAAGCATTGGCCGACTCGGGTGTATGTACAATCGGCGGGGGTCTGCTCATCCTGGTGGTGTGTGCCATCAACATGTACTTTGTGGTGGTGTATGTGACGGCCCTCAACAGCACCGTCCTCTACGTCTTCTCTGCCCTCCTCTCCATCGCCTATCTCAGCTTCGTCTGCTACCTGGTGAGACATCTCTCTGTTTCAGACAAAGATGACTGTTCAAGTCCAGTCATAGTGTGTGTGTGTGTGTGTGTGTGTGAGAGAGAGAGACAGAGAGTGTGTGTGTGTGTGTGAGAGAGTGTGTGTGAGTGTGAGAGAGAGAGAGAGTGTGAGCGTGTGTGTGAGAGAGTGTGTGTGAGAGAGAGTGTGTGAGAGAGAGTGTGTGAGAGAGAGTGTGTGAGAGAGAGTGTGTGAGAGAGAGTGTGTGAGAGAGAGTGTGTGAGAGAGAGTGTGTGAGAGAGAGTGTGTGAGAGAGAGTGTGTGAGAGAGAGTGTGTGAGAGAGAGTGTGTGAGAGAGAGTGTGTGAGAGAGAGTGTGTGAGAGAGAGTGTGTGAGAGAGAGTGTGTGAGAGAGAGTGTGTGAGAGAGAGTGTGTGAGAGAGAGTGTGTGAGAGAGAGTGTGTGAGAGAGAGTGTGTGAGAGAGAGTGTGTGAGAGAGAGTGTGTGAGAGAGAGTGTGTGAGAGAGAGTGTGTGAGAGAGAGTGTGTGAGAGAGAGTGTGTGAGAGAGAGTGTGTGAGAGAGAGTGTGTGAGAGAGAGTGTGTGAGAGAGAGTGTGTGAGAGAGAGTGTGTGAGAGAGAGTGTGTGAGAGAGAGTGTGTGAGAGAGAGTGTGTGAGAGAGAGTGTGTGAGAGAGAGTGTGTGAGAGAGAGTGTGTGAGAGAGAGTGTGTGAGAGAGAGTGTGTGAGAGAGAGTGTGTGAGAGAGAGTGTGTGAGAGAGAGTGTGTGAGAGAGAGTGTGTGAGAGAGAGTGTGTGAGAGAGAGTGTGTGAGAGAGAGTGTGTGAGAGAGAGTGTGTGAGAGAGAGTGTGTGAGAGAGAGTGTGTGAGAGAGAGTGTGTGAGAGAGAGTGTGTGAGAGAGAGTGTGTGAGAGAGAGTGTGTGAGAGAGAGTGTGTGAGAGAGAGTGTGTGAGAGAGAGTGTGTGAGAGAGAGTGTGTGAGAGAGAGTGTGTGAGAGAGAGTGTGTGAGAGAGAGTGTGTGAGAGAGAGTGTGTGAGAGAGAGTGTGTGAGAGAGAGTGTGTGAGAGAGAGTGTGTGAGAGAGAGTGTGTGAGAGAGAGTGTGTGAGAGAGAGTGTGTGAGAGAGAGTGTGTGAGAGAGAGTGTGTGAGAGAGAGTGTGTGAGAGAGAGTGTGTGAGAGAGAGTGTGTGAGAGAGAGTGTGTGAGAGAGAGTGTGTGAGAGAGAGTGTGTGAGAGAGAGTGTGTGAGAGAGAGTGTGTGAGAGAGAGTGTGTGAGAGAGAGTGTGTGAGAGAGAGTGTGTGAGAGAGAGTGTGTGAGAGAGAGTGTGTGAGAGAGAGTGTGTGAGAGAGAGTGTGTGAGAGAGAGTGTGTGAGAGAGAGTGTGTGAGAGAGAGTGTGTGAGAGAGAGTGTGTGAGAGAGAGTGTGTGAGAGAGAGTGTGTGAGAGAGAGTGTGTGAGAGAGAGTGTGTGAGAGAGAGTGTGTGAGAGAGAGTGTGTGAGAGAGAGTGTGTGAGAGAGAGTGTGTGAGAGAGAGTGTGTGAGAGAGAGTGTGTGAGAGAGAGTGTGTGAGAGAGAGTGTGTGAGAGAGAGTGTGTGAGAGAGAGTGTGTGAGAGAGAGTGTGTGAGAGAGAGTGTGTGAGAGAGAGTGTGTGAGAGAGAGTGTGTGAGAGAGAGTGTGTGAGAGAGAGTGTGTGAGAGAGAGTGTGTGAGAGAGAGTGTGTGAGAGAGAGTGTGTGAGAGAGAGTGTGTGAGAGAGAGTGTGTGAGAGAGAGTGTGTGAGAGAGAGTGTGTGAGAGAGAGTGTGTGAGAGAGAGTGTGTGAGAGAGAGTGTGTGAGAGAGAGTGTGTGAGAGAGAGTGTGTGAGAGAGAGTGTGTGAGAGAGAGTGTGTGAGAGAGAGTGTGTGAGAGAGAGTGTGTGAGAGAGAGTGTGTGAGAGAGAGTGTGTGAGAGAGAGTGTGTGAGAGAGAGTGTGTGAGAGAGAGTGTGTGAGAGAGAGTGTGTGAGAGAGAGTGTGTGAGAGAGAGTGTGTGAGAGAGAGTGTGTGAGAGAGAGTGTGTGAGAGAGAGTGTGTGAGAGAGAGTGTGTGAGAGAGAGTGTGTGAGAGAGAGTGTGTGAGAGAGAGTGTGTGAGAGAGAGTGTGTGAGAGAGAGTGTGTGAGAGAGAGTGTGTGAGAGAGAGTGTGTGAGAGAGAGTGTGTGAGAGAGAGTGTGTGAGAGAGAGTGTGTGAGAGAGAGTGTGTGAGAGAGAGTGTGTGAGAGAGAGTGTGTGAGAGAGAGTGTGTGAGAGAGAGTGTGTGAGAGAGAGTGTGTGAGAGAGAGTGTGTGAGAGAGAGTGTGTGAGAGAGAGTGTGTGAGAGAGAGTGTGTGAGAGAGAGTGTGTGAGAGAGAGTGTGTGAGAGAGAGTGTGTGAGAGAGAGTGTGTGAGAGAGAGTGTGTGAGAGAGAGTGTGTGAGAGAGAGTGTGTGAGAGAGAGTGTGTGAGAGAGAGTGTGTGAGAGAGAGTGTGTGAGAGAGAGTGTGTGAGAGAGAGTGTGTGAGAGAGAGTGTGTGAGAGAGAGTGTGTGAGAGAGAGTGTGTGAGAGAGAGTGTGTGAGAGAGAGTGTGTGAGAGAGAGTGTGTGAGAGAGAGTGTGTGAGAGAGAGTGTGTGAGAGAGAGTGTGTGAGAGAGAGTGTGTGAGAGAGAGTGTGTGAGAGAGAGTGTGTGAGAGAGAGTGTGTGAGAGAGAGTGTGTGAGAGAGAGTGTGTGAGAGAGAGTGTGTGAGAGAGAGTGTGTGAGAGAGAGTGTGTGAGAGAGAGTGTGTGAGAGAGAGTGTGTGAGAGAGAGTGTGTGAGAGAGAGTGTGTGAGAGAGAGTGTGTGAGAGAGAGTGTGTGAGAGAGAGTGTGTGAGAGAGAGTGTGTGAGAGAGAGTGTGTGAGAGAGAGTGTGTGAGAGAGAGTGTGTGAGAGAGAGTGTGTGAGAGAGAGTGTGTGAGAGAGAGTGTGTGAGAGAGAGTGTGTGAGAGAGAGTGTGTGAGAGAGAGTGTGTGAGAGAGAGTGTGTGAGAGAGAGTGTGTGAGAGAGAGTGTGTGAGAGAGAGTGTGTGAGAGAGAGTGTGTGAGAGAGAGTGTGTGAGAGAGAGTGTGTGAGAGAGAGTGTGTGAGAGAGAGTGTGTGAGAGAGAGTGTGTGAGAGAGAGTGTGTGAGAGAGAGTGTGTGAGAGAGAGTGTGTGAGAGAGAGTGTGTGAGAGAGAGTGAGTGAGAGAGAGTGAGAGAGAGTGTGAGCGTGTGTGTGAGAGAGTGTGTGTGAGAGTGTGTGTGTGAGAGTGTGTGTGTG